GTGCTAAACCTTCCACTCACCATATTTCCTTTCATTCTGAAATAATAATATTTTGGAAATGGTACCTCCCTGTTTTCACACAAGAGCTTTATATTCTAAGAACTTACCACTTACTTTAGAACAGGGAGTTTCATTGAAGAATTACAATAATACATTATATCCAAGTATATCCTTCTTTAATTCAATAGTATCTAGCTGGATTTCAACTTTCAATATTAATAATATGATAATATTGATGAGTAATAGTTTCTTATTTTTTAGCCAAGCCTCTAAAATCATATTTTTTTTGAAAATTTAAATGAAGTTTTAAACTATTAAAACAGAAGTATTTAGTTCTTTTTGGGTGAATTATGACTAATCAGTAATATAAAGTATGTGTTACCAAAAATATTTTCAGTATAAAGTTTTCTTGAGGTCTGTATTTTTATTTAACATAAACATGCAAGAACATAAGAGTTCAGATAACTAGATGATATGAAATTGTTATTTAATTCTATAAAAGTAGGCATCTTGTTTTACATAGCATTTTGGGGGGAAGAGGGAGAGTTTTTGCTATAGGGCACGTGCGCTTGCCAAACAGAGAGAGACATAGAGACAGAAAACGAGAAATCACCCCCCAGGGGGGATGGCCACGCCACAATCCCATCTCCTCCATTCTCCTCTTGGGATCTTGGGCACACACGCACACGCGCCTGGCGTGAGTTTAAGCCACCGGGTCCAGGACTTGAACCGCAGTTTACTACATGGGAGTCCAGTGACATAGCCATTACACTAACTGCTGGTCCCAAAATTCATACTTTTTAATGTATAGTTTTGAAGATATTAATACACTAAGGAGAAAAACTTCTGTTTTTCCTGACAAAATGACAGGCAAGAAGCTGTTTTGTTTTCATACTTAGGACAGACAATTGTGTAAGACATACTTAAAGTGTAAGCACAGACATATTAACACACTCATGCGGTAGACCTCATCATTCAGTCTCATTAAGGCCAGCAACTGAGATGATGCATGTGTATGTGTGTGTGTTTGTATAACTGAAACAAAATTGCAGAAAACAATCTTTACCACATGCACTCTAGTAGTTTATATTTTATTATATGCCATTCTGTTACATTACAAAAAACGCATTGCCCAACCATGTAATTGATTTTATGATCTACTAATGAGTTGCAGTCAATAGCTGGAAAAACATTTGAGTTAGGTAATGGCAATATAAATCATACGCTGACAAAGTGAAAAATGTCTTTCTACTGCCGCACCATAATAGTGTGCCCACCTAATGCCACTATGTCAGTGTATTACTTCAACCACGTAGAGTTCCACACTGAAGTAATGTGGCTAGAGTAATTTTTCTGCCATTGATAGAAGAATGAAAAGAGTTTCATGGGGCCAGCAGGTGGCATGATGTTTAAGGACGCAGGACTCCCATATGGCCAACCGCAGTTCATTTTATTATAAAGAAGATACAACCTCATAGATTGCTTTAAACCTATTTTCTCATTTAATACTATTTCCTGGAGAATATTTACTTTTATAATAAACTTTAGGTAACCCCAAAGACGAATTCTTATTCATTATATATTTTTGTACTATTTTCTTGGTCAGTCATAACCCTATATTGTTCTAGAACAAAATACAGACAATATTTAATTTCCCAAAGTAATATCATTATTTTAAATTTGCATCTTATTTAAATGTTAGCATCCTTCCATCAAATATGCAACTTACATTTAGTTATATAATGGCTATTATATATACACACTATATCTGGTATTTACATCTATATACTGTGTTTCTATATCCTTTAGTCAATTAGTTTCAGTCATAGAGTGTGGACACTCGGTATATATTAAGTGGGGACATACAATACCTCTCCTTCATAGCCTGGCTAGCTTCACTCAGCAGTAAGTCTTCCATAGTCACCACTGTTCTACCACACAGTGCATTTACAATATTGTACTGAATGTGAAAGACATAAATAAATAATTCCATTTGATGTCTGTACCAATATCAACCAAGAAAATTAGGTACTTAGAGATCTGGAAGTTAGGATATTCAAAACCAAGAATCATTTTTTTGGGTAACATTAAGATGGAAACATTCTCAGGATATACATGCATATTCTAATTCTACCCCTTGAGAAAGGTCCCAGTATAAATTAATCTAATGGCACTGATCATACCTGATTCCAAAGAGTAGCTTCTAGATGCTATTTTTCAATAGAAATTTAGGGATCCTTGAGGGAATGGTTAATGCCAGGTATGGAGGAGAAAATAGGCAAGTTGAGCTTGTGCCATCTGTTCATTCTACAGAGCAGAACACCTGTCTAACTAAAAGGTCATGTCACACAGGTGCTGGCATGAAGGTGCCCACTTAGACGACAGAAGGACCATGGAGCATTAAAGCAGAGATTGATATACTTAGTTGAAGTACTAAGTACTTATTAAAGCAAATAGGTAAGATAGGAAGGGAGGAAAGAGAAAGGAAGGGAGGAAAGGACATAAGTAAAGAAAGGAAGGGCCAGAATAAAAATAACAAAACAAAACATGTTTTTGATACTGTTTTTGGTGAAGTGCAGAAAATTTTGCATTATAGATCCTCTACAGCTATGGGGATCAGTGCTCCAGAAATAAGTCAGTAGAAGTATATTCACAGAAATGTTTAAAAAGGCAAAAAATTGGAAGCAACTTAAATAAGTACCAAAAGAGATTAAGAAACAAATAATGGTACATCCATTTTATGGACTATTAAGAATCCACTAAAAATAGTGGAGCAGAACTTTATGAAACTACATGTAAAGATTCCTACAATATGTTTTTAGTAAGGAAGTTTCAGAATAATAGTTTTTATAAATTAAACACTTTGAAACACTTTGTAATTATACACACACACACACACACACACACACACAAGAATTTGCCTTAAAAGATGAAAAGTCTGGGAACCAGCAGTTAGCGTAATGGCTATGTCGCTGGACTCCCACGTAGTCGACCGCGGTTCGTGTCCCGGACCCGGTGGCTTAAAACTCACGCCGGGCGCGTGTGCGTGCGTGCCCAA